CCCCCCCCCCCCAGTTTACCACGATTACATTGCATGCGCAAATTTCATTGTTCGAAAACGTCTCTCCCATCTCTGCGAAGGGGTAGCGGGTGTACATCCCCCAGCATCTGGGGGGATATAGTGGTGGCATTATCTCGTTTAGCCTAAGGCGCGCCATCTGTTTTAACGGCGGAAACCCCCTAATCAGCTACGGTGAGGCAGTTGCGAGTGGCTCTAATCTAATAACTACACGTGTCCTCGGGGCTTGAACGTGCCTGAACAGCCATCTACGACGTCTCTTCTATTCTCAATTTAAATTAAACAAATGTGGAGCTATCAGAAGGATGAACTCTTTGTCTTGTCAACTTGTATGCTGGGTGTACTGTGTGAAAAAAAATGACCGGAGGGCATATCACGTACGCTGAGAAACAAAATACTTTTACCAAGGAATCGTTTTCTTGGGAGAGGAATTTATTTTTCACCACTGCTTCACACAGAAAAACCTAAACGTAAATTACGTGTAGGAAGTCGTCTTTTACGATTACGAAATCGTAAATTACGCTCTACATCGTCGTAAATTACGATGATTTTGTCGTATTTTTGATAAACGTAATTTACGTTTTGACAAACGTAAAATTGGCTTTGCTTAGGCATAATTTAGGTTTTGCTAAACAGAAATTAGGTTTTAATAAACATAAAATACGCTTTGTTTAGGCGTCATTTACGTTTTTATTCTGACCGGAGAATACGCGTTTTTAAAGCCTAAATTACGATTTTCATGGCGGAAAAAAGCCACCAGACATCATATTGACGTTACGTGTAAATTACATTTATCAAAACGTAATTTACGTTTTGCTTTTCTGTGTGTTCTTCCCAAACTCGGAAACTTGAACATCACTACAAAAAATCTTCTACAAAAAATCAAAAAACATATTGTATTGTTCCAAAAGAACAATACATTTAATTTGAAAATATTTTAGATTTCGTTCTGTCTTTTCTGCCGCTTTAATTTCCCCGTAAGTTTTTCCGTACACGAAAAACCGCCGTAGGAAGACGTACGGTTAACGCGCACGTGTCACCACGTGCTGCAAAAGAGGGTCGATCCCACCTCTCAGCCATTCCCCCACTCGTCCCCCCTAAAAATGCTCTGTATGAGGTGTTGCAGCGCACGTGGGCCCGAAATGAGGGTGCGAGTGGCATACATAAGCTGCGTATGGTATTTTATCTTGTCATGAGAGAATGAGATCCGGGAGCGCAGACGACTGTTTTCCTGAAGGACTTTGAGGCGCAAGACCCCCACCCCTCTTCTGCTCTTCTGCTTCAAGGGAATCGTCACTTCATGCATTTTATATTTCGCAAGGCTTTGATTCTCGAGGATTCTCTCAGGTTTCTTGGCAAATCCATATGGTTGGAGGGAGCCAAAAATAGCTCTCTGGAGAGTGATTCTTAATGTTTGATAGGAAATTGTCTTCAGTCGTTTTGTCTGTTGGAGCATTCACAGCTTTTCTGGATGTCGTCATATCCCTCTCTGGATTCTCTTCATGCTCCGCCGGGTGTCTTTCCCCAATTGTTGAACGGGTTGAGCGGCCCGAACTGCTCTCGAGGGATCACTCCTGT